GAACGCTGAGGACAGCATGATCCGGAACGTTTGTGTAAAAAAAATAATACGGCAGCAACAGCGTCATCATGTTGTTACAAGAGATCGGTTCAGGCGGATATCTTTTTGACATAAACTTTCAACCGAATGAAAGTGGCGCCTCAAATTGGTACCTAAACCAGCGCCCCCGGCTACCTTGACGGTTGGAAACTGGGCGTTGGTAGCTTCGTGGAGACGAAAAGATGAGGAGGTGAGGCGGTCACGTACCAGACGAGTCAAGACGTTCGCCGGTGATTGGGTCGCGGAGAACGCAAGAGTAGGTGCCCTCGTCGCTACGGGACATTGGGCCCGGGCAGATGAGACGACAGATTTGCCCATCCGCTTCTACACGCCAGCGGGACCAGTCGACGTCTCGAGCGTTGTGACGCCATTCCACGCTGGGCCGGTTGGCCAAGAAGCCGGCGTAGGCGAGCGACAACTCCACGGCCAACGGCTCTGGAAAACCGGTCTCCGAGGCGTCCGTCGGAAGTTGATGTTGCGAGAGTTGACGGAAGCTGGCCAGCACACTTGACTGGAGCAACGGCTTCACTCGAACATTTGCTGCAAGCGAAGGTACAATGTTTTATCATTTATTATGTGTGAAGTGTAAGAGGGTTTCACGATGACTCCTCTCAGATGGCATTATTGTTGGGACTGTCGTTTCGTAGAAGAGTGTATGAAGACGCGATTCGAAGGTCGATCTGACCGGAAGAGGACAGTTGAATCCCGTTCATGAGGTTCAGATTGAAGCAGTCCACGAGACCGCTTCAGTCGTTTCGGATGAAAACAGGCTCAAAATAGGATCCAAATCATCAGGACTGAGACTCACCCGAAACAAAAGAAAGGAAGTCTCGTGGACTGCGTCAACATGAAGATCGTATAAATGCCAAACGGCTGCAGAAAAACACGATTCATTCGTCCTTTTCTGGTGAGATCGACCTACGAATCTCTTCTTAATGCGCTTTCATATCCTTACTCTTACGTAGTCTCATTTAAGCAAAAGAGAATTTAAAAGCATGGATCAAGATAGAATGATCTTGTTTAGTATCTTCATTCTGATCACCTTCCTTTGGATGACGGTTCAATACTTTCTCTCTACTTTCAATCTCTCAATCAAGCCAAGGTAGCTAG